CTCTCTCTCTCTCTCTCTCTCTCTCTCTCTCTCTCTCTCTCCTGCATATCATATTTCCTACCAAACTTGCCTTGGTATGCAGGATGAAATTAGTCCTTAGTCTCGTCCGATGAAATGGAATGCGATATTCGTCCTTATGACAAGATACCTGGGTGAAGACAACGGTATTCCATGTACCAACTAATCACGATCTACTATGTGGGCTACATAAACGTCACTACGTTGCGTTTAATTATGGTAAACCAACGAACTATGCATCGTTCTCTTAGTTGATCATTGATATAATTAAGTTGAATATACTTTTCGAATATCTCTTTTTCATTGTAATATTATGAATATTCAATGGAAATTTGTAAAAAAAAAAAACATAATATAAACTAATAAGAAAAGTTTAGTATAATTAGGACTAATGAGATTCGGTAAGTTTATTCCAAAGAGAATTTAAATTCCGGGTATGGAAATCGAAATTATTCTGGTCTTTAGCTGACATTCTCTTTCTCTTTGCTTGCAGGTAATACCAGGAAACACGAACACGTATTTGGAGTCCAAGCATGAACTGGAGCCACCTCTGTGGGCTAGCAAGATCCGTTTTCTACCCTTCAGCAGTCACACGCGGACAGTTTGCATGCGGGTCGAGCTCTACGGGTGTTACTGGAGCGGTAAGCTGTTTGCACTTGCCAATTTTCGTGAAACTTCTCGACCCCCTTGGTATGCCAGCTTGGAACGTTCTATTAGCGAGGAAAAGCTATGCGTCGCATAAACACGCACCCATTTTACTACAGGATCCGTTCCTTCCGTAAATTGTAAATCGTTTAAATATAAATTGCTCTTAGAGGTATAAAATATTAAATTAAATATTGACTCGATTTGTTTTTGAAAATGATCAAACATACAGGTCTAATATTTAATTCAATAATCTTATCGTATATATCAAATTTAATTAAAGAATATTATTTTGAAATCGTCAGACGGTGTGGTATCCTATTCGATGCCCCAAGGCGACAAGAGAGGTAACGAATGGGAGTTCTTTGATGCCACTTACGACGGCCATTGGGACGATGAACTTCGTCGTGGATTGGGCCAATTAATAGACGGTAAAATGGGCCCGGATGATTTCAAGATGGGCTATTATGACGATAGAAGACAAGGTTGGGTTGGATGGAGGAACGATACACGAAATGATCAACCAATTGAAATCAAATTTGAGTTCGATGTAGTCAGAGAATTCTCGGCAATTCATATTTACTGCAACAACCAATTCACCAGGGACGTTCAGGTTAGTAGATTGCAGTGCTAGGAATGTTTGTTCAAGCATGTTTAAAACAATGAATGTTATTCCATTCACAGTTCGTTTTCAGAAAGCGCTAACACTTGACCCGGATTATGTTTCTGTCGTAAATGGGATTACGTGAAAAATGTTTCGCTCGATTTTCGCGTGTCTTGAATACAAGCGAACGAAACGTTTGGTCATGTATTTTAACTGAAAAATGTGGAGAAACCTCGGGAACCTTTTTTGTCGATAAAGTGTACTAGACGTAAAGTCGTTGACCTCACGAAAGAATCGTTTACCTTCGCTTTAGCAATGTTGTACCTTTAGCCCTCGAGAAGAATGCGAAGACAGTGTCGATCAACAGGCTTACCCTCAGTGTTTTTTCGAGTTTTCTTTTCCACCTTTTACCACTAAGTCTTGGCATCTTACGAACCAGCTGCTGGCTGTTGCTTGATTGAATATTCTACTCGGCGCTTTATCGAATACGTGTCTATGGAATACAAACTCACCCAAACTCAACACTGATCCTATAGTTGCTTCCCATTTATATCATTACACTATTATTACCCTCCACGATTAATGGCATCTCGTTCAACTATATTGAATCTTGAAGTCAATTTTCGAATCTGATCAATTTCATACTTTTTCGAAATCATATTACACGGTAACATCTTTATTGTTTAAGAAGTGGTTGGATATATCCTCTATAAGTCTAACTTGGAAAACTTCGGTAATGTTCAATATGGATAGCACAACTTTAAGTTTGCGGAACATATACTTCCATGTATTTAGAAAGTTACAAGTAAAGATGTAGAGAGGTAAAAGAGCTGCGAGAAACAAAATATTGGATATTGCACTTGCAGTATTATCCATAACACCGTAATGTTTTGTTTAAATTACATTATTCTAATGTAATGTGATATACTATGGGTGTGAGTGTACGTGTGTGTGTATGTTTGAAATTGTATATTTATGTAGATATATTTGTATTGGCATATATGTACAACATTTATACGAGCCCAGGTTATGTACCATTTGCGCGTTGCGCGCGTATTTCACTAGTCTCGCAATAAATCCGCTTTGAACGCGCTCGCGTGCGCGCACTTTCCATAGCTCTCTATAGTGCATTTAAATGTTTGACGGCGCGTGCGATGAAATATGCATGGGAGATTATTGAACGTTGCCAGAAATGGAAAGCCCCGACTTTTGATCAAAACAGAATCGTTCTCGGCGAATGGTTCTTGTCGATTTAAAAATTCGTCCTGCCAGGGATTGTTATAGGAAAAGCTCCGACTGTGGGGCAGAGGGAGGGGAAGATAGTCAAGGTAAAGGGGAATGAAAAGTGTCGCTAATCTAACCAATTTTTTTTGTTTTTTGTTTTATTCCGGAATTTAGGAATATGAAAAATTTGTTATACGGGGTATTTTTTTTTAAATCTAACAGTTTAGAATGTATTTTTTTTTTTTTTTTAAATACCAAAATCACACGCGTAGAAATGATTATGAAAATTATTCAAATTATGTGTGTGTCGCGTATTATCAGAATAATCTTGAGTTAATGACAGGGAGTAACGAGTCAGGTTTAACGTACTGAGCATTTAATTGTCGATTCAAAGACATTTAGCTACGTGCTGTTGGCATTTCGATGCCACCCGAACCCCTCATAGTGTTATTTCACCTAATCTCACCCACTTTCGACTAAATCGATATTCTCGCGACACTTTCCGAGGCGTTACGCGCAGGATCGCTTCCGTTTCTCGTCAAAGTGCATAAATTAACGTGATTACACTTTCCCTACCTTGCCATAACCATCCTTCTAAACCCTCGGCGCCTGTTATTTTTTTTTTGTCTTTTTTTTTTATTTACGAATGCTCTTTACAGAGCCCGATGTACACCAGTTGATCTGTTGAATCCACTCGGTAGATTATCAAAATTTAATGTAACGCATAAAGTCTTATGGCCGACTAATGGATCGAAGAAGGGGGAACTTCTCTTATTCTTCTTTACCAACTAAAGTAAAGAAAATATGTTTCTTTTAAAAGAATTTCGCGAGAGATCTTTAAAACTTTGCATTACTGACGACTTGCCAGTGCTCTTGTTTGAGATTAAAGAACTAGGATTAAAGAACTTTTTGTATTTTTTTTTTTTTTTTTTTTGAAGAAGAAGAAGAAGAAAAAGAAGAAAAATAAAATGACAGATATATAAAAGATTATTTTTGTGAAAATAGATAAATATTCTAGATCTTAAATAAATATTTTGTCTTATTTAAATTTCTTTCACGTAATTTATTTGAAATCGGACTTAGTTTTAGGTAAAACAACCAACCAGAAGCAACAAATAACATATACTACAAAAAGATAAAATTTAAAATTTCGATTCTATTCTAAGATAGTAAGTTACAAGAAAGTTTTATGGAATCTTACGAAGCGACGGTTTCTATATGGTATTTTACGTTAGCATATCGATATCGGAATGTCTATACTGTTACCAACAGATACCGGCCACTTTTCCGGCACACGATACCATTTTCCGCTTGTATGTACACCAAGAGGAACGTTGCCATACGAATCTTTGAGAATTGGTTTTATATAACGGAAATTACGAGATGGACGATATCTACGACGTATTCAATCCAAACTACGTGCAAAAAATGTGAATATTTTTACTGAAAAATGCCATCTTCTTCTTCTTCTTCTTCTTCTTTCCTTTTTATTCCTTGAAAAAAAGTTTTTTTCCTTCTTAAACTCTGAGACTCGGTGGAAGTTTAAGTACGATTATTCAATATCTCCTTAACTTGCGTTCGGTTGAACAGCTTTGAGCTACGTTTTTCTACTTTTTTTTTTATCATTGTGTGTGTATGCATGTTACTTTCATTTTATTTCTTTTGATTTGTCGACTGTATCGTCACGACGAATTGTGATTTTATCAAATATATTATAATGAAATAACTGTATATGAAAAAAAGGAAAAATACCGTTACCAATTGATTATTCTCAAAAGATAGATAAATTATTCTCTACTCGTGTGTAAAATAATTTAATCATATTAAAAATATTCCGTCTCTTCAATTCTAGCATTTCAATTGAACATATTTAGCTCTGGCAAATATGCAAGTTAATCCGTAATTACTTCCTAACGTCTATTTTCAACCGGAACCATTTCTCAAACTCAATTTCATTTCAATCTCTTTTCATTTCATTTCCATGTTATCTCTCTCTCTCTCTCTCTTTCTCTCTTTCTTTCTTTCTTTCTTTCTCTTGGCAGAGAGTACCAATTCTTTTTTTTTCTCTTTCTTTTCTTCTTCTCTTTCTTATTCTCAGAAACGAACGGATATAAAATTAGTGAGACACACAAACTCGAGTGAATCGTTTTTCCATCAACTCCTTCCGAATCCAACTCCCTTCTCCTTTTATGTAAACCCTGCTCAACCTCGAATGATAGTCTTGATTTATGATCAGATCATATACTCCATCGAACTTTAGGGACACATTAAACTTTTATGATGTCCTCAATAGCCACACAACCTTTACTCCTACTATCCTGCGTTTTCAATCCCTTTCTACCCTCTTAAGAAGCATACAAGAGCCTAGCTACCCCGTTAAACGTTCATCCACGGGGAAATGATTTTCTCCTGGGATAAGGATGTTTATTATGTAAACCAAAGTGAAAGAAAAATTTTCAACAAGTATATATATATATATATATATATATATATATAGACTCGTTTGCGTTCATTGTTTTCTTCTTCAAAATTAATACAATATCAAATAAATAAAGTATTCTTTTTTTATTGTCCAAACGAATGATTGAATAGTCAAAATTGGTTTTATATACTAATCGTTCATTACACAGTTATCCGTGAAACACTCAATACTTTTATCAAATAAAACAAAAATCTTGTTAATTAATAATCTCGTCATGTTAGACAAAGAAAAATATTCAAATCGTTTGCACATAGTTCCGATTTATTTTAACGAATGAAATAGATTACTCGGAAGACCTAATTTTTACTATTTTTACATTTCCTACTGCGTTATTAATATTTTTTCTGCTAACGTATACCCCAGATATGAAATATATATATATATATGTTATATCGAGATTTGAGTACATTGATTTTTTTCTTTTTTTTTTTTTTCATCTCTCTATATCACAACCGTTCTCATTTTTATTCACAGATCTTCTCGCAAGTCGACATACTCTTCAGTATAGGCGGGCGATACTACAACGGTGAGCCGATTACCTACACCTACATGGAGGACAAAATATTTGAAACGTCTCGTAACGTCTCTATCAAGCTTCACCATCGTATCGGGAAGTACGTGAAATTGAGACTCCATTTTTCCGCCAGATGGATCATGATCAGCGAAGTGATTTTCGATTCTGGTAAGTCCTCTCTTCTGTTTGTTTTTTTTTTCTTTTCTCTATTTTTTTTATATCAGAATAAAAAAAAGGTGTTCAACTTCTCTTTTCAATATCTCGCCGATCCTGTCATTGTAAAAAAAAAAAAAAAAAAGAGAAAAAAAAACTTTTCTGTTCGTGACGCAAAATCGTTTGACTGGCATGGATTTTACTCAAAACGGGAAAAGAGAAATATATACATACATACATACATACATATATATGTGTGTATATATATATATTTATTTTTTATTCTTTCTTTTTTTATTTTTAAGCCTGGGCATTTTATTTCAATTCGCCAGAAACAGATCGTATTCGTATCCCTCTTTATAAACCATCCCCTTTTGGATCAATGCTTGTTCAATAGCCTACCCACCGACTGTCAATCGGTAAAAAAATATAGAGCTTTCGAAAACGATTTAAATCAATAAAAAAAAAGACCCCCCCGAGTAATTGAGGATTGTCCTGTTTCAAATTTATATTCAAAGATACTTTTACTTGTTTATCGTAATATTTATATAAAAAAAAAAAAATTCATCAGACTTGTCATTACTTGTTTTTTCTTGCGTCAATTTTCTTCATTACATTATTACTTTCTTACTTTCTCGATGATATCTCTTCTCGTTTCGTTGATACCTGTTTTTTTCTCTCTTTCTTTATGTTTCCCTTTTGAAATCGCAAATCACTCACAATTCGATTTAATGCACACTCCAGGAACTTCTTTTCTATCCGTGTTTTTCCTTCCTTGCGTTTTTCCCGATCGTTTCCTGGAAGAGATATAACGTATTGGTAGCATTACACGCGAGTATGGTTCTTTATCAAGAAAGATATAAAATCATGAAGTACGTCTTCGAAAATTCCTTCCGTTATTCCTTCTCTCTCTCTCTCTCTCTTTTTCTATCCTCATCTCTTTTTCCGTCGTTCTTTTCCACTGAAAGTAAATTCCATCTGATTTAAAGTAGTTCCGTCAGGAAATTGCATCTTACAAAGAGCTTATCGGTGTTTATCGAGGCACCCAGTTCTTCCAATATGAATGCAAAAGCAAGATGATTTATAATCGCGGATATATATATCGAATAGAGAATTACCATCTTATTCGTAGAGACGCATTGTCTCGACTATTTCAGAATCGATTTATCATAAACATATTAAGATATTTCCTCTCTAAATCTTCCATCAATTAAATTAGATTACATTAGATTAATAACATTAGTATTAATGTAATTATTGAACATGTCAATTGTACATGGGAAAAATGATATCTATCAATCAAATGACCATTTTTAAATTCTTTATCACAAATTACAATTCTTTGATCAAATTTAATAATAATTAAATTCAATAAAATTTCGAATTCTCATTGTTTCAATAAATAATAGATAGGTACTTTATAAAATATCGTCATTTTTGTAATATAACATATTGTAATAACTTTTATATTACCTTAATATACGAGCTAAAAAGACATTGTTAAGAAGAAAATATAATGGAAGAAGTGAATTCTAGAGAGAGAGAGAGAGAGAGAAAAAAAAAAAGGAAAAAAAGCTACGATAAAGGTACTTAAAATGCATCTAGGAATTAATGAAGCCACCACATATAGACAGAGAAATACAAAAGGTAAGTCCAAATCGGTAGACTTCGAGGAGAATAATAACCCTTAGGCTGAACACAAAGAACTCTCGAAAGAGCTTTTGCGCACAGTCGAATGAGAATCGTCGAACGATTCCTTAAAGCTCACTTCGTCGGAATCGGTTCCGATTAATGCAGACTCATGGTTTAAAACACATTCATATTCGAGTTATATTCAATTCGTACAAGCACGTACAAGCGAAAAGATGGCAAGGTACTTCTGTGAAATATATAGAATGCTTTTGAGATGACATAGACAAGACGAGAAGAAAAGTGGAAGAGAAGGAGAGTCAACTAGCAAACGAGTCAAGAGAGTGAACTTCATGTTGTTCACTGCGGTGGTGAGGTTGCTAATAACGCTCTGACTCCACTTTCGTTACTTTTTTTTTTTTCCATTTCGCAAAAGACTCATCTAGACGCTAGACACTTCTCAACGATGTATCAAATGTAATGTTGAAACTTAGCATCGAATTGACACGCCATTAAACATTGGAGAACGTATTTTACATAATGTTACGTATGAATATCTGGAAAAGGGTATATGTGAATTTTTATCGAGTTACTTTTTAACACGTTCACTATAGTAACTTATATTATAATGTATCATTTTTTTCGGAACCGTTAGATACAGATAAAGAGTACAAATAATATAATATAATAGAAAAAGTTCAACGATGAGTGAAATGAAATATGATTCGTGAATTTCGTGTTAAAACAGTGGATTAAACATCGTGAAGAAAGAAAGAAAGAAAATAATAATAAAGAGAAAGAGAACATTGTAGAGCTTAAAGGAGATTGTTGTTGATGACGTACCATGCCACCACGGCTTACTTTATCCCGAACGACTTTCCCTATACTCTTTACCCTTTCTATAGGATCGCTATCAACCCTTTTCTCTAAACAATACTTCCCAATACTCCCCTGTACGCTCTCAATCCAGACAGATAATTTCATAGGGATCTCTTTTGCGCGTTAAGCGTGAAATTCATGATCGAACAACCGCCACCCTTCGTTCGTTCGTTCGTTCGTTCGTTCGTTCGTTCGTTCGTTCGTTCGTTCGTTTCAACCAATGATATTGTGGTGAGTATATACTCGGTGGGAGGTTTGATATAGTAAAAAAAATGAAGCAACAGACGTATTGAAGAAAAATGAGTCTTCCTTTAACGACATACCCTACAAATATGACCGTCCTCTTGTAACCGATGTCTGTAAATAATGAACGAAGAGAGTTGAATAAGGGTGGAAAAAGAATAGGGTGAATGAACAGAGTGGAAGAACAGGAAGAAGGTTGAAATTCCTTTAACGTCGAGAAACGAGTCGATGTACATCGCGGAAAGTCCAATGAATAACCCTGCATCGAGATTATAAAAAAAAAAAAAAAAAAAAAAAAAACAAAGAAAAAGAAAAAAACAAGTCTTATGACGAGAAAACTCGGAAACTTAGGAATCCAGCGCATATTTCTCTGTCCCTTATTATCAACATTTTTTAAGAAAAAGATTAAGGAACATCCTGGTATCTCATCAATTACGATCGAATTTCACAATGATGTTGAAAATTGTCCTTTTAAGATAAATTAAATTTGTATAAAAAACAAAAGAAATATTGTTATTTAATCGCTTTATTCGTTATTCTATAAACGTACTATATATTTCTATAGAAAAGGTTTTCTAATATTAAAACATGTTGGAATTCCGTTTGTGCCGTATCCGTGACCCGTGAGAACGGTAAAGATTTTTGGCCCCCCATTTTATTTTATTTTTTCTTTTTTTTTTTTTTTTTAAGAAGTATCCTCCGTTCTCCCTCAACCAAATAAATTCATGAAATAGGAAATATTTTCTACTCTCCGTCGTCTCATCCGAAATCGTCTCGCATCACGCAAAAATATTTCACCGTTGGGAATGGTTCCTTCCGTTCTTTAAATATTCAAGATATCGTGTCCAAGTGACGTTTAGCAAAAGAAGATCACATACTATTTCCCGTGAATTCCACGAATTCTCTGTCGGAATCGTAGGTTTTCGGTTGGATGATCCTCCAACAGGGATGAAGAAGGAAAAACAGGTCAGTAGCTTGCTAGCTAGCAACGGTGGTTCAGGAGATACGGTGACGGAGACGATGAGAAGGGTGGAAAAAATGGGAGGAAGGTGGGATAAGGGGGGTACTGCATTTCCATACCGTACGGTAAATCAAAGAGCTTTAAAATTGGCGAGAAGAGAGTTGTGCGCGCGACACGGGCCGCGAGATCAAGGAGCGCATTAGTTGCGTTTGACATTGAGCGTCAGCTGCATATGCATGCATATGCATACCCACACACACACACACAGACATACAAGTGTGCGTACACACGCACCAAAGCCATTTTACTTTTCTACTCATAAAACTATATTCAGAGCGAGCGTCTTAAGCATCGCAAAAGAGTCTTCTTTGCAAGATGATATCCTGACTCGAGCTTGGAACTCGAGTAAATAAAGTCTTACGTTAACGTACTCGGTGAATTCTCATTAAACGTACTCGTTGGATTTTAATTGGATCGCTTGTTTTCTTTCTTTCCATACTTTCTTTTTTTATTCTTTGTTTTCCGGTTCGTTTTATGCAACTATTCTTTTTTTTTTTTTTGTTTTGTTTTTTTCTGCATGATCTTAATCGAATTTTTACACGTTTGTCTGAGCAATTCGATCTTCTTGAAGAAAAAGTTTTTCAATGAAATATAGGAAATTACGAGACACCCTGTATAAGAGGATATACCAACACATCTTAGATTAGTAATTCATAGCACTCGTCGTAAAGGCTCTTCGCTTAAACGCCGTTCAAGTCGTTCTCACACGCGACGAAAGGCTTGCTTACACTTTTTCTTCTTCCTCTTCTTTTTCTTTTTCTTCTGTTCTTCTTTTCTTCCTTTTTGTTTTTGCGCCGCTTAGATCTCCTCGCGGAAATGAAGAAAGGCATCCAGTTGCATCCTACGAAGTGATGATTTATAATCCAAATAACTGTACTTGAACGCGTAATTATGTCTCTGTCATCGTCGCTCCTATTGATCCAACCTTTTTTTACTTCCAATCTTAAGATATCACATTACAATTGAATTAAGAAATGTTTCGATATTATCCAGAGAAATGAATAAAATAAATTATATTTGGAATACTTATTTTCAATGAAAACAAAAAATCAATAAGTTTTCATTTATATCGTTAGTCGAGTTTAAATTAACCATTAAAAAATAATGTTATCTTTCGTCGTTAGTCAGCATTTATTTGTTGCTTAAACACCTGACACCCCAATAGAGAAAGAAACAATATGGCGGTCGGCATACTCCTTTGTAGTTTATATCTTCAATGTATAAAGAATGTTTAATATCGAATTTCATGCGGGAGATTCGCAAAAGAGAAAAAAATAAAGTATGGTTCGGCTTGTTGCTCGCACTAACGCTGGCGAAGCAAAAGGATGACGTAGGAGAAACAGGACACGTAAAAACCGATATCAAACGCGATGACAGCTTTGTTTCGGCCGGGATAATCCTGTCGGGAATTCACGGAATACCGCACGCGACCTGCCACGAAGAAAAGCTTCGTTCGTTCATTCGTTCGTTCATACGTACGTACGTTCGTTCGTTCGTTCGTTCGTTCTTTCACATCTCGACCTTCCCCTCTGCTAACCTCTCCCCTAACCCCTTTCCTTCCCCTCCTTCTTTTACCACCATCGTTAGTTTTCTCTTTCTCTCGTCGACTCTGGGATGCATTTATACGTCGTCTTCCTTACATTTCGTCATGACAGTTTGTATATATTCGTTCGAACTGTTTAAACAATGCCTGTTGAAAATTTCAACGGAAAACGATGTTTCGTTTAAAAAAAAAAAAAAAAAGGAGCTTTACAATAGTTATAGAATTTTATTTTCTCTCATTATATAATTGGATATAGAATTTATTTTATTATATCAACTTATAACAAACAATAGTGATTTTTCTGAAACAACATTGTTTTACAATATCTACGAAAAAAAGATATTTTATAATGTTTACGTGTAAATACGACCCACACAACAACATCGTCACTTTGCTATTTCTTTATCGCTTTTCTTGGATTATCGATGATGCATCGTAGCACAAATAGGTTGATTTTACGCTCCATATGCACGGAGAAAAAAAGCTTTCGCGGAATAAGATGCAGGTCCAGCATTAATAGCTCGCGCTATGTGTTTATTTTTTGTTGTGTCGTTCTTTTTTTACATTTTTCTTTTTTTTCCTTTTCAACACTCGCTATCCTCGTCCGATGCTTATCTTTCAAAGGACCATCCTCGTGAGCGCCTCACGCACGATTACTTCTCTTTGAAGGACGCAAAAGAAAGAGTCCCGAGTAGGAAACGACACTTTTTTTTTTTCGTGTCGTCACGTGCATTCGTGCGATTATAATGCGCGGACTACGTTCCCCGCATAGGTTTTTTTTTTTTTTTTTTTCCCCCACGGCAAAGTCATTTGCAGTTTCTAAACACACGTTCTATTTTTTGAATAATCCTAGTTAATTATTTTTATATTACGTTAATTAAAGTTTAACCAATGACCACGTGAATGCTTGTTATCTTGATCATTATATTACGTAGCACGTTAAGAATAAAATATAATAATGTTCAAATAAAAATAATAATATTTTATATAAACATTGTTTTGTTTCAAGACATAGCGCATGGTAATTTCACGAACGAGGAAGCACCTACGACTGAATTACCAATTCAAAGTGACGTTTTTGTTGAAAAAAATGGATCGGGCGTTGACGGTGAACTTCCTGTATCAACTGCTAAACACGATGATCCAACTTACATGGCAATCGTAATTGGAGTATTGATGGCTGTAATATTGCTCCTTGCCGTGGCAATATTTCTGATAGTATCGAGACACAGACAACGTAAATGTTTTGCTAGTCCTATGACTGGAAAAGCTCCATCTCATTTGGGTTCAACCTGTGCCACTGTAGAAAAGGGAGCAGCGTTGATGGCTTATACTTTGGAAGACGACGAAAGGTAGGTATATACCATATCGATATATCGATCAAAGTATAATTTAGTCATCCAAAAGTTTTTGATTTTATCATAGAACCTAACATTAATAATCTTGTCATAGCTATGATCGACTTTTAGACGTTCCTTTAAACGATTATCTCATTAACAGTGAAAGCAACTGCTAGCTCGAGAAGAACCTGCAATTAGTCAAAGATCGTTTTTTTTTTGTTGTTGTTGTCATTATGATAGATACGCAGGGGGTTCTTTGCCTACCCTACCACGTGATCTGGGCAATCGTCTCCTGGATATCGCCAAGCTCGATGACTATCAGGAACCCTACCAAGCGTTGAAGTATGCTCCGTACTACAGCTACAGCACCGTCGTTATGGAGATGAAAGACATGATGCTGAACAACAAGGGCACCAACATCAATCACTCAGGTATGCGTCGTTCGAACGGTACCGTGCCGATACATTCATGGACATACGCTTACATCTACTCCTAGAACATACGACTAGCTTTTACTGATGGTACACTAACATGCACAAATACGTATCAACGTACAAAGCATTTCCCTAACCGCAATCAATACACCATCCCCATTCTACATCCGTTCCTCCTTTGCTATATCATCCACAGCGGTGTACGCGAACGGTGCAGTTGACACATCATACGATTATGCGGTACCGGAACTCGGCACGGTACCTCTCCTCAACCAAGAAGGAACCGGAGGATGTCCTAGGACCACTACTGTATCCAGTACTACCAGTGACAAAGAGAGTCTCTTCTCTAAGAATTCTTCTCACAGCGCTAAAACCGAGGACAAGAAGGTCAGTTTCAATTTAGATTAATCATGGTCATGTTACTTTGATTTCTTGATTATAACTGTTTCTACAACGATTAGATGATAGATTTCATATAACATATTTTGATTAGACTCGTAGATATTGATTTCGATCTAACAAGTGAAATTATTTTCATTACAAATTCATCATTTAAATTTATCTTTTTCATTAATACTTCAGAAGAAGATTCTTGTCAATATTTTAGTACTTACCTGGATATATAAAGGTAGAATCTCCTTTCATTGAAAACGGCCTCGGTTCTAGCCGAGGGAAAAAAAAAAATTGAAATTAATTATTTAAATCACTACTAGATTCTGGTAAGAGATTGAAATGTTTTTGGGGTAGATTGGTTCTCGTCCCACGGGTACACTGAGGTCTACCTCGTGTCCAGAATTTCGATACAACACGAAAACCACTTGACTGTTCAGTTGTAAAGTGGATAAAAACATGTAGAAATAATGAAAAAAAATATATATATATATATATAAAAACGACCAAAAATATTATTACATCGAGTAGAGAGTGTTGCCAATTATAAGTCCTATTTCCGACACTATATTATACACAATTAAAATACTATTGAAAATATTTCATTCATTTTTAGGATTAGTTGAATATTGAAAAGTTACCATCTATGAAACATATTTATGAAAGCTAACTAAGCAATTCTTTCCGTTTCAATAAACATCACCAGTCCATGATATGTTCCTGCATTTATCAGCATGAATGCATTCCCAGTCAACAAACGATTCCTTTTGCTGTGCTTCCCTAGTCTTCCAGATAAAGAAACGGTGAACTAGTATGCTAGTGTTCGCTCTCTCGTAAACTGAATAGTATTCTCCGTATCGGATATGTATAGTTTCGGATTGAGATTGATCCGAATACAATACTCCGGCTAGGACGATCCAAATCCGAAAGTGCTCATGTCTATGTCGGTACCCGTCTGTTCGTGATTGACATACGACAGTACCACTCGAAACAGTCAAAACATTTCACCCTACCACCCCCGTGTATTCTCTGCCCTTGACGCATCGGTAGCAATGCCAATCAACGGATCCTCGATTAATTCATCCTATCCCTAACTGCCCTTCTATACTCCTCGCACGTTTTTTGACAAAACCTTTTTCGTGTTTTATTTTTCATTGCTTCTTTTTCTTCTTCTTTTTTTCCTTTTTTTTTTCTTTTCTTTTTTTTTGATCTTCCACCTCTCGCATTAAATTATTTCCAATTATTTTTTATCAATTTATTTATTAGCAATCATCTATACGTAATTTAATAAACATGACAAGATAATGATACAGTAGGAGCAACGATACATCAAATATCAAAGAACAATCTTTCGTGAACCCCCATTTCGTGTTTTACCAACCTAGCGTGATCGTCGATCGTCGATTATCAATGGTCTACAGCAGCACAATAGATCTTTCTTCGGTGTTGCAGTCACCAACACAACAGGAGGTACTATCGGCCTTGAAAAGACGTCTCGAGCAAACTAGCGTTCCTCTCTTCCCACGACATCGCCTTCGCATGCTTTCCAAACTCGCAGAAGGTGCATTTGGGACGGTAAGCATATTAATAATCTTTTATAATTACTACTCGCACAAAAAAGTATGGATCACAATTTATTAAATTAAATAAGAAAAAAGATTTATTAAATTGAATTTAAAAAAAAAAAAAAAGACAATCCACATACGAAATAGTATATTACTCACCACGGGAGAAAAGTATGGCATTTCGACCCGCGGAATATTGTCACCCGAGCCGAAAAAATTATTTAATTGGATTTAGCAAATGAATAAAGAGCTTACTCTCTCGACAAATTCATTTGAAAAATAAATTAATCCTTTTGACAGCATCAAATACGACAGGTCGTCGTCTTTGACATTTGTTTGACTATCAGAACAGAAGAGAACAGGACAGAACGAACGTTTGCACGGTTATGAATGAATGGCACGACAAAGTGCTTCCAATTTATCCACAATTTACGAAATGACGGCACTTCCTATCGGTTCGATGATGATCAGGAAATCAATCCGTTTGTTGAGAGAGAAACTCGCAAAGCAACTTCTCAAACCAAAAGTCCATTCGCTTGTGCTCGCGCAATGAGTTAGCACGACGGGAGCTTCTAGGCACGCAACAATACGTCGATTAACGAAGCGCAGTATTATTCTTCCTGAATACAATACAACCTCGTCGGCCGAGACTCATCGAGTATGATCAATTTAGAATGTGTTAGCGCGGCTAATAATTCCCTTTTGTCCTCCGCCCCTTCGTGTACATCGGGTAGCGTTAATGACCGGCTAGACCGAAGTCACCGCTTTCGACACCCTTTTCAAAGTACCGCATCGTCGAGTTTGCGAAAATACACCGATCCCCACTTGCCGATGATTTATTTTCAGTATGACCAGAAAAGGGTTAGCAAAAATGAAACATAAAAGAAAATTACTTAATTCATATATATAGATATTTCTCTTTGGAAGTTGACTTTAACGATTAAGCGTTGATAAAAATCATTAATAGCGAGAAAAAACAATTATTCTTTCGTATGGGGGTGTGATCAAAGGATTCACTATCGAAAAATTTAAATACGAGGATATAACGTATATCAAAACGGGAGATGGATGCATCAAATCTGTACGGTCGATAGGGTAGAGGAGAGGATGGTGGTTTAAAACGCGCGTCGACAATTTCAAAGAAATACTACCAGACGCCATCAGATTGAAAAGTCTTGAAAGAATTCAATGAACTCGCGAACATGTATCAACTCGAAAGCATTTCCTTTTTCTTTTTTTTTTCTCTCTCTCTTTTTTTTTTCTTTTTCCCCCACACCCTTCTTCCTCTAACACACAGGGAACGACGAACAATATAAAAGCGACGACCACCGCGGCAATAATTTTAAAATGCGCGTCGAATTCGAAGCGATTCATCTTTCAGCTTTTCCCCCTTCATATTTTTAAGTAAAACGATTTGTCTAACGAAGAAAAAAAGATATATAAGAAGTAAAGAGTGAAAACATGTGAGAGAGAAATAGATAGATAGGTAGATAGATAGATAGATAGATAGGTAGATAGAGAAAAGAAAAAAAAAACAAAAATCTTTTTCCTAAAGGTATACGTCGCTGAAGCCGAAGGGATTCCTGAGTATGGAACAACGACCACCCTCGGCAAGCGTTTCGTCGCCGTCAAGTTTTTATTACCGGAAGCCAGCGAGAAGGAAAAGTGAGTATACGAGCGCATCAACACATACATACAAGCTCACACTCATATATATATACACACACACACGTACTTCGCATGTTCACATGATTATGCACACATGCAGTTTTACCTGGAATCTCAAAATTTGCATTCTCTCGTGTTATGGCATACGCTCGATCGAATTCTCTCTCTTACCTACCCCCTTCCCCTCTCATTTTATTCTTTTAGATTCTCATCCTTTTGTTAAACCGATAAACCTTATACTCGTTCCACCGGTTCTCCACTCACGATTTCATATCATGTTTGGAGTGTTGTATTGATCCGTGGTAATATAAAGTATAGATAAAACGAAGCTTATTTTGAAGAAAACTTTTCAAAGTCTTATTGGAATGTTAGTGATACGATTAATCGTTAATGTAGCAACGTAATACAATAATTTTACTTTTAAATTAACTCAAACAATTCTTTTTATTTGGATATATTGATTTTTACGATCGTTCTATATACATAAATATCGTTAAGACAAGATGTAAATAATATTTGGGTCGGATTTATTTGTATAGGAATGCAAAATCGATTCGCATCCTTCGACACGTCTGTAAGACATACATAAAAAGGTTCAATAAAGTATAAAACTTCGTTCGTTTCTTTCATGTTAGCCAATCCTCTCATTCACCTTCCCAAAAAAATATTCTTGGCCAGAGGTCCAACAGTCTGAGCCACGCATCAACGGACACGTCGTCGTCCGTTTGTTCATAGAAAGGAACCCCACGGTGTGCGATCAAGAAACGTTGGCAAAAAATTTACCAGATAAGAGGGCCAGCCTCCTGAAGACGAGAGCCGAGTCGTTCCCGCGACTATCGCGCTTGGACATCACAAAAAAAAACCTCACTTTCGATTCGCCGAATGGAATAGATTTGCATACAATGACCAACAAGAGATAGGGTGGACCGGAACCTTGGTCTCTCTCTCTCTCTCTCTCTCCCTCTCTCTCTCTCTCTCTCTAAATGAGAAAGAAAAAGAAAAAAAAAGTCGCGACAGAAACGCACGCCGGCTTCCTTCTTGGACTCTTTCGTCGACCCGAATCTCCTCACAAAATGACAAAGCTTCGTTCCTTAACCCCCAGCTCATTCCAACTCAGCATTTCCACCTTACAATCGTTTCTACCTTTCAATGACAAAGACGAATTACTTTAGCAAGATCTATCTACCTGTTCGTTTATCTTTATAGATAAAATACTTTGCACACACAGAATCTGTTACGATTAATCAGAAAAGGAACATGTGAATTTTTAATCGAAACAATTATTGAATATTTAGAAAATAATTATTTATCGTAAAAGATTTATCATTGCATATCGTATTTTTTTATCTAAATGTACTCTAAACATATCACAAATTTCATATTAATTTGTTTTCTTTTTCTAGTTAAAGCTACATGTGATCAAATAAAATAATCTGTACAAAAATCGTAGAACCCGTAAAAAATTCATCATCTTAATTACATATCATAAGTTTGATTTAAATGTAATCTAAAGATATTACAAATTTCATATTAATTCATTTTCTTATTTTTCTTAGAGTTAACTGTGATCAAATAAAACAGCATGTACAAAAATCATAGAACCCTTATACGTCAAACATAAACTTTCGAAGTCGAATAGTCGGGCTCATTCCAACGCTTTGTCTTCGACAACTCACGCAACAAGTTTCCCACCATCGTTGTCGTTGTCGTTGTCGTTGTCGTCGTCGGGTATAACGTATCGCGTCTCGTGACTCCGACCCTCTCAATTTACCCTCCCTTCGTCTCACCTCAATTTTCTTCTCACGAAGTAGTCTCTCTCTCTCTCTCTCTCTCTCTCTCCCCCTAGATCGAAACGATCTACCATTTCTCCCTTTCACGAGAGATCCGAAGACAAAACCTTCCGTTTTTCATACTACCTTTAGAGCCTAATGTAACACCATTCGTTACCACACTACTCTGAACTGTTCTCTTGGTCCTTGAGAATAGTTTACTGATTGGTCCTCTTTTTACTCTTACCTTCTCTCCTTATCACTTTACGTTTGTATATGTGAGTATACATTTATACACGTATACTTGTGTATAAATGATAGTTTTTAGAATGTAAGCGATACTATTATAAAGGATAAAAAAAAAAGATGAACAATGTTGACAAACCCCATCCCCTCTTACCCCATCATACTAAACAGAACTAACAACGATTCTAGTGGTCATGGTCTGGCAAAGGTCGCGTTTACTATAGATAAGGGGGTTGTTTTATGCGTCACGCTTCCTATCGCTTGATGCAGACTCCAGAGTATAATTTTATACATATACAATGCACGTATACAGTTACGTTTTTTTTTTTTTTTAATCGATCGTTTCCATATATATTCTATCATCGAGAGACCTAAACTCCTTCACCTTCTTTTTCTTTCTTTCTTTCTTCTTTTCTTTCTTTCTTTCTTCTTATCGTCTTTTAAGGAGATGGAAACATTCGGATTGTAGAAAGAACTGCCAAGAATCCAGGTCGTTTATCTTAATAAAATGTGAGAAACTACTATAGAATTTGGAGATTGAACATCGTCGTTAAGTCGAAAAGCAAAATCACTCACTGAAATCGAACTAGGAAATGGAATATATTTTGTTTGCATAGTTTAATAATAAGTAAATTACTGTTTGATATTATAACGAATCAATAAAATAGAATCAAAGATAAATGAGATTCATGTTAATGCAACATTGTATATAGAACTATTTTCTTTATGAACCGTGTTTCGTTTTATAAATCAACTGCATTAACGATACAAAGAATTTTTCGTCTAAGAGCGAAACAATCGTAGAACACAATTCATAGGAACGTAGTCATAATTCTTAGTAAAACGCGAATAGTGCAGGTAACAGGAGAAGTGAGGGGTTGCATTCTCGGTAGGATTCTCGGTTTTATAGCGAATCGATAGCAGCCTTGTAGTTTTGTTAACGGCCGCATTAAGCTATCACGCGAGAGTGCCATTACCAAGTCGATCGTAAGTAAAGCCGAAGTAACGAGCCTGGGTTGAACAACATTCACCGTCGGTAAAGTCCATGGCATTACTACTCTCTCTCTCTCTCTATCTATCTATCTATCTATCTTTCTCTATTCTCTTGCAAAAGCTTCAAATTTTCATGAAGAGTAACATGAAAATGCACACCAAAATATTTACTTATTCGTCGTACTTGAAAATTAATAATTAACGTCGATATCAGAGCGTTTCATTTTAATTAACAAATAACTCTCGAACGAATATTATCATTTAATTTACGCATCAGGCATCACCTCCTTTTCATTCGTCATATTGATCAAATCTTTTAATTTTCAACGCCTCCAATTTAATATCATTAATATAATACCTTTATTATATAAATATATATATATAAGTTGTATGACACCGTGTATCAATTAAGGGCAGTTCGATCCATCAATATACGAAGAAGTCAACACAATTTGCTTCAATCTTTTCAGACAGTCTAGACTTCTCTAAGTAATAAATTATTAACAAGAACTCGATTAAATTAAACCGCTCTGAAATGTAACCTTTCATCTGTCAATTATTCTCTTTGAATATTAATGTCCCTTTTTGATTTAACTTCACGTACTAATACGAATAAGCGTAGCCCCCTTTATTACTCTTTAGCATACATAAATATTTTATTTCAACATATGTTACAAATTGAGATCATTTCTCGAAATCACATTTATTTATACATATATATATACATATCAACCTATTTGAAAATTTGATTGAAATATGTCGAAATTGCTAAGATTAATATTTTCATCCAACAGGCTAGATTTCCAAAGAGACGTGAGGATTTTGGCGGCACTTGAGGATCGCAATATCGCTAGGGTTTTGGGTGCTTGTTGCCGTGAGGAACCCTATTGCGTTGTGATGGAATATTTGGAACACGGGGACCTCTGTCAATTCCTAAAGACGCATATCACTGCAGAGGATGCCCATTCCATGCCAATCGGTGTTAAGACGCTTAGGTAATTAAAAAATTTCCTTTAGCATTGTATCGAGGAAGTACTAGGAATTCCATAATCAATCTCATCTCCAATCAAGTTTCCATTTAGTTCGATCTCACAGCATTATGTACTTAACTCCTTTCAGTTTCAACTGTCTCATCTATATGGCAGCGCAAATCGCATCGGGCATGCGGTATCTCGAGAACCTCAACTTCGTGCATCGGGATTTGGCTACTAGGTGAGTACAACGAAACTTTCTGCGAATGAATCCCTTGGTAGGCAACTCCCCCTATTCCTCCTCCTATTTCCCCCCCCCACCACCATTCACCTCAATCTCTCCTATCTCTTCCTCTCTTTCTCTTTCTCTCTCGTGGGGATAACAGAGGATTATGTAGACCGAACTGTCGCGTTTTATCCCGAAAACTCGTCTTCAACAGCGAACGAAGGCTTTTCCTTCTCCGCAGGGCTTTCCTAACCAAGCAACGAGACGAAAGGTCTGTCTACCGACATTGATTTCTCTTCTTCCTTTTCCTCCTCCTCCTCCTCCTCCTCCACCTCCTCATCCTCCTCTTCTTCTGCTTCTTCTTCATCCTTCGTTTCTTCTTCTTCTTCTTCTTCTTCTTCCACTTACAAGTGAAAAGCCCGTGTCGGTCACATCACTTCATGTCACCGAGAAAATTAAATTATATCGTTTTCGAAGAGCGTGCATTTTCATAAATTCCTAAACAAACGGTGAGCTACTGCCACCTGGGAAATCAACGATTCGTTGGCCCTGATTCGATGTCAACGAATCGGGAATACGCCGTGATTATACTCCTGATTATATTAATTATGTACCGTGATGGGAGTGTGCTAACTCATCCGACAGAATAAATTGTGTTTTAATCAAGGAGCCCCCGGTTACTGCATTTTCTACATTAGGACACAACATTCGTTTATAGTATCTACGTAATACGAGAGATAAACATTAATCACACACACACACACATAACTTCGTTACGAAATTTACGTTATTAAAAAAGTAAACATTTGTTTTTACGAACATTTTCACATTTTAGATTTTTATACTTCGAATATGTATGTATATTATATGTCACATTAAAAATTCCGTGATAATATTGTATTACTTTTGATAAACTCGACGTATGGTATATATGCTTTTACCGGATAATCTTCTAATAAATAATAATTTTGAAATTACCGAACGGATAAAAGCATGAAACGCGTATGTATATATGTATGCAGGCACGTAAATTATATTTTCATGTCGCGTGCGCAATTGAAAACTCGATGACGATTAAGATGAAACAATGCGGTTACTTTGGTTAATTTTCCTATACGTTGTGAAATTTTGCTTAAGAGAAGTTGTAACTCATTACGTTAGCGGCATCGTTACTTGACACATGGAGGTGTGAGATTTCAGGGTTGTTCCCGTATTGCTAGTAAATGGAAGTACGTGTCTACGTTTTGAAAGTTTACCCTCCATGGTAACACAAAATTAGTTTCCTTTTATAGGACTCTCCCGATTGAACGATTTTATGTTTAACAGCAGAAACATTACGCAACGTTAACAAAATATTCATTTACACGTCAACGGTAAATAAGTTTTAATGAATAACCATTCGAACATTTTACTTTTCTATTTCCTTTCATATTTTATGTACATACATGCATACATACATATGTAAATAACAGATGATAATACTAAAAAAAAAAATCATCTTACGTGAATCAAATTACAAATCAGTATAAACATACGCAAATTTCTTTGCATGAATAACGAAAACTTTATCAACATCATCATTGTTCCAATTCTCTGTTATTATTACTTTCATCTGAAGCATTACAGAGCTATCGATATCGATAAGTTTATACGTAGTTAGAAGGGAATCATGAACAATAGCTTTGGAAGAGCAGAGAATATCGGTAGTGAAAGATACCGGTTAGTTAAGCTTGCTAGATAATAGGGTCGGATAACAGAGAGTTTCCTGTATTTACGTTATAAACGCAAGAACATGTATTTTCTTTTGAAAGATAATTAAATATATCTTTAACAATCGCATTGTTGTACTTTTTATCAAAATAGTAATGCGCGTATCATCATTTTAAAAAGGAAAAAAGAACAATTGCAAAAACAAGGAAAAACAAAAATAGAAAATAATCAATTTTATAGAACGACGTAAAAAAAAAAAAAAAATGATATCATTGCATTATTAATGCAATCAAATCTTTTTTTACATATATACATATTTGCATTTATTATATACTATCGAATCAAAGTAAAGAAAGCATTGCTTTGAAAAATAATATTTCGCACAGAGATGTACAGTAGGTCAAAGCGTGGGTATCTTTCTATTCGGTATAACGAATCAAGATAGAAAAAAAAAAANAAAAAAGAGAAAGAAAAAAAGGAAAAAGGAGTGAAACTAAAGTGAGATATCTCGAGAGATGAATAGCTTCCGTAATAATCCAGGAGTATTCGCGTAGATCGTTGGCATTCGTTCGTGTACGATCGCGGATGATCAGCCAAGGTAGAAGACCCTCACGTACCTATCTCGTACGTTCCTGTTATTGAAATGCGGTGGCCTATCTCGACGAATCGATAGAACGTTTAGATGCATACACGCGGCTACGCATCAATAAAGGTCTCTACGTATACGCTAGAAATCCATGAATGTATGCAAGTAGTAGTAATGCATACACACATGCAATAGAAGCGCGTGATGCTCTCTCACAACGGCCTGGAACCTAGTTTCCTGCGAAGCAGTGTCTCTCAAACGACCCCCTCGTAAATCTTAATGGAATACCACGAGACACTTCCTGGGGACGCTTTCACGATGATATTACGGCTTTGTGAACACTCCTGAGGAAGAGGATGTTTCTGCATCTTTCCTTCTACCCTTCCTTCAGTATACTACAAACCTTTCTCTTCTCTATATCTCGTTTAATGTGACATTTAAATTACTTCGGTTTATAAGATCAAACGAATGTCTGTCAATGATAAATCTATATAACTTGTTATTTATATTATTCATATCACATATAAAATATATATTCCTAGTTTCAAAAACAAAAAGTCAAATATTACAATGTATTTAAAAAGGTTTGATTTCAATAAATCAATGATACGTGGAGTTATGCTAATTCCATGTATTCCTGATATACCCATTCCAGAATACCAAATAAATGTTTGCTTCTCGCTTCTCCATGTTCTACAAGTAGTCAACAGTCAGGTATCTATCTAATACAACTATCACATAACATAGCAAGTACCGAGTACCTCTCTGCCGAACTTCGGAAGAGCATCTCTCACAGTTCTCATGAACCACTTGTTCATTATGCAATCATACGAGCATTTGTAGTCAGATAACAGCCCTGCACTGACAAAACAGCTGTTATATACTGTATATAACGTATACGCGTATAAATAATAACTAAAGAGATTTATTACTCGACACTGTGAACATTACTCAACGAAATAATAAGATAAGGGGCTACTTAATAAAACTTAATAATATGTTTTTTTTTTTTTGGATTAATCTTATCATTCCTATGTTAACGAAACTACCTACTACGATTGTTGACAAACACGAGCTACGAGTCGTGGACAACTATCAGAAGCGAACCAGCCAATCGCAATGATCGATAAAGCGCAGCTAATTACCCGGACGTTCTGCCTCTAAATTGGTGCTTTGTTCTACCGAAATTAATCGATTCCCTCCATTCAATAACCGTTGGATGCTCGGCTATCGTTCGCTCGGTCATTTGTCCAGCACGAGTACGTTGCTTGTGTTCGTCTCTTAACTATCTCTAAATAGATTTCAATGGAGCTTGAAATTGATTTTGTATATATATATAATATAATATATCTGTATATACAAATACCAGATTATAAAAAAAATTCTTCCATAGTATAATTTTGATTTCCATCATAAATTTGGAAATATAACAGGAGTTAATTTGTGTCTCGTCAGTATTTAAAGAATTATAATAGTCTAATTAATATATTTTTGTTCATAGGAATTGCTTAGTTGGAAAGGCTTATCATATCAAGATCTCAGATTTCGGTACAGACAACGAACTATATGCCTGTGACTATTATAAGGTGGATGGAACTGTACCCTTGCCTGTTCGTTGGATGGCTTGGGAATCTATATTTTTAGTAAGTAACCAATGATAGATGATAACTAACGTTGGAAAGATATTTTTGTAGTTGTTGGATAAAGATCACTCTAATTGAAATTAATTTGTTAAAAAGGGCAAGTATACGACCAAGAGCGATGTGTGGGCATTCGCAGTGACTCTTTGGGAGATCTTAAATCTAGGAAGACGTGTACCTTATGAACATTTATCGAACGAGGAAGTTGTCGAAAGTCTTCGAAGATTTCATCGTGCTAACGAAGAAGATGGCTCAGCATCGGAAAGCTGTGGTACCGACGGAACGAACGATCATTTCGATTATCTTCCAAGACCTACTGCTTCTTCGAAAGATATTTACGATCTGATGTTAGAATGTTGGCGTCGCGAGGAAAACGAACGTCCAACCTTCCGCGAGATTTCTTTGTTCTTGCAACGTAAGAATCTCGGATATGCGCCAACATCTTGATATTGAACCAATAACACCAACGAGAGTTATGATTTATTTTTTCAACAATTACGATTCTCCGATGTTACGAGAATCGAACGATGATTATTCGATGATTATTTCATCGAATTTTCTTCTATTTATTCGTTGTACGTGTCGGTTCATCGGAACAGATTTATGTGATCGAACCTTTGACAACGTTCAATCATTTTTGGGAAATCATTATCGATGAAGAATATCTTGAAATCAATCGCGAACGTTACACACTGATGAATAAAATAAATATAATATCTTCCAATTAATTAGGAGTTTAACTTCGCGTAATCTTATGGTAAATTAGATGGGATGATATTTTTGACGATTACGTATCTAAGAAAATGAATGTCATCGAATTGGTAAATTACTTTATTTATTTATTTTTTTTTTTTTTTATGAAAGAATTGTTAGGAGCGTAAAAATCGCGAACATTCCTTAATCAGAATGAAATTCAAAAAATTCACGTTTCTTTTTATTAGAATCGTCAAAATGGTTCGTTCTTTTGCGTTCGGTTTTCGAAAAGACAAAAAAAAAAACCAAAAGAGAAAATGAGCTGAAGATACGTTACATTTGAATATTTCTAAGAGACAAGTATATGACGTTGGACTGTGACTTCGACAATCCAATGAGTGCGCCGTGGTTCTTATTAAATTGTTTAAACAAAAAAAGAAAAAGGCTACTGCGTTTATACGACTGAACGATAGAACGGCGACGATAGACGCCTCTGATGTAATAAACTTAAGATTAAATGAAACAAAAAGAAAAAAACACAGAAAATAAATAAATAAAAAATAATAATAATATTAAAAATAAAAAAATAAAAAATAAAATAAAATAAAACGATAAAGTTAATGATAGAAATTTCGTGAGGAAACTAATCAAGAGAGATTCTTCGTAATGTAAACATTTAAGAACAATACAATGTAATTTAGCTATTAATTAACGCTGTGAACATTCCTGCATAGACGAGTGCGTACCTATGCCATCGAATAATTATTTCATTGATCGATTTTTATCATACTATCGATTATTCGATAACACAATTGCTCTCGTAACTTTAAAACTAATTTTTAAAGTAACGATTAAGAGCTATTGTTTGTTTGTTGGTTGGTTTGTTTGTTTATTTTTTTGTTGGTTGATTTGTTTGTCTGTTTCTTTCTTTCTTTCTTTCTTTCTTTCTTATCTTTTTCTCTATTTAATTACAAAAATTACATCGACCATAATGGTAATATAATATATTATAAAAAACAATATAAACGCTGTGACTATCGTTGCTAATTAATCGAAGATCGCGAACTGATGTGTATTATGTACGTGTGTTGTGTGTGTGTGTGTGTGTGTGTGCGCGTGAGTATGTGTGCGTATGTTTGATCGGTATGATGGAGGATGCGTGAATAATATAAATATAAGTGTAACGATCTACTTCTCTTCGATATAATATAAAATAATAATTAAAAAAAAATAAAAATAAACCTCTTCGACAAGTCTGTATGTATATATATATATATACATAATGATGATAAGCAAATTTTATAGAATAAAATCGATGCCAAGCGACGTGAATAATACTTTATCATTATGTTTTCAAATATTAATTTAAACAAAAACATATACGATTATTGAAATTAATTTTTAACGTGTAAAACACATTTTATCGTAATTTTGTTCATTCGTGTCACTTGATAGTCGGACAAAAAGAATTTTGAAATTAAATACTAAGAATTGAAATTCGATAAAGTTTTAATATGTTCTTATAGTGAACATCGCTATTGATAAATTTAAACGAATCATCGAAGGAAAAAATAAAATAAAATAAAATACATCAATTGAAATTAGCATATGTTCGACTAACGGCAATATATCGAAATAATATTATAATAACGACACAACAGATGCGTTATTTAAAAAAAAAAAAAAGAAGAAGGAAATTCTATATGCTAGGCGGGATCAATGATACTAGTATAAATATATCGTGCATAGGACTACGTTTTAATATACATAATAATAATAATAATAATAATACTAATACTAATAATAATAATAATAAACTATGATTATATTTCATTTGAAAAATCGCACAATTTCTTTCGGCAATCTTCTAAAATTATTGAGAGAAAAGAGAAAAGCTTGTTAATCAGTTCATTACGAATTGACGTTTATATTCGTCATAATAAAATGACAATATTTTTTGTTTTTTTTTTGTTTTTCTGTTAAACAGAAATAATAATAATTACCATTTATTATTTAACCAATTTAATTGTATGGTGATGATCTTTTTGAAAAGTGTCTACCTAAATTGTGTCATATATAATGAAAAGATAAGACAAAATATTAATATTTCTGTATGACGAGTATAAACGTCAATTACAAATAACTGATTAAAAAATTGTTAACGAACGAATGAACGAATTAACGAACGAAACGAACGAAGCTTTTTCGGAAAATATCATTTTCGCAAATGTTACAACATATCGTGCTGTGTTCCTTCGTGCTTGTTTCAACGAAAGAATAAAATTTAATATGAAGTAAGAGGAGAGAAAGCATGAGAAATCGAAAAGCAATAGATAACAAAACAAAAAAAATAAAATAAAATAAAAATAAAAATAAAATAAAATCGGATTATATTATATACAAGTGTATATATAAATATACGTAACGTGCATAATCACTTTGACGAAAATGAAATAATATGGGAATGAAGGAGTTCAACGAAACAATTCAATCAATTAAGTTCCATTGTATATGTATATGACAAATATTATTAGATTACTATGAAAAAAATACACTGTTATCTTTCATAATGCTGTATCATTCTTCTTCTTAATGCTTTGTTGGTGATGCAAGAAAAGAAAAGAAAAAAAGCAGGAAATAAAAAGAAATGAACAACATTGTGAAACGTGATAGTAACGCGTAATCTTAACGTATAGGCGATGTTACCGTTAAAACGTTAAAAAATACTATTTATATAAATTAATCTAATGCCATTTAAAAAAAAAGGAAGTAGATAGTCAGAAAATTAGTCATATACGTTTTTCGAAAATATGTTCAATTCGAGCGAGATTAAAATTGAATTTTTCTCGTATATATATATATATATATGTATATGTGCAAAATTAAATCAAATTTGTATCCGTCTGTTATATAGGTCTTTACCAAAAATTAATAATCAAAAATGATTGTAAATTAACTTTTTTTTTTGTAATACTTTTTGTAAATCTTTAATCCATTTCTAAACGAAAATTCTTACTTGATCTGTTAAATTAAACAAATTTCTTATGTTAATAGATAAATTAACGGATTGACACGGACGGATATGATTTGAAATAACAATTAGAATATATTATGAAATAATAGTTTCGCTCGAATGAATACATTGATATAAAAATAATGCTGCCTTTGGCTATATCGTTGCCCCTACTGCTAAAGAGTAACTCACTTGTCTACTCATGTGATAATTCAGTATATCTCTTCGTATCTACCTGTACCTAACTAGCTCGATGAGATTGTCAGAAATGAAAGGATTACATTTTTCGAGCTTAACAATATTATTTTGTAAAACAATAAACAAACAAAAAAGTAAAACATTTCGTTAGTTTTTAATTTGTATCAGCGAAGTATTGGGAATAATATAAATGAATCCTGTTACTCGCATATATTCGATTATTTTGAATGAAGTAACAACAAGAAAATGTAATCCTTTCTTAACTGAATAAAATTCTATCGAGATGACTATTCTACCTAAATAATATGCGCCTTCTCCGCCAATTATATCGATTAATAATTTTTAAGTTCGTTGCGAAATAGAGCTCTGTCAAAAGTCGTTAGCTAAACTTGTGAGATATCGCTACGTGTCTCTGAGAGAAAAGTCATACGTGAATAAGTGTTAACGTGTGTAATTAATTATTCATCTAAAACGCAAAAAAAAAACAAAATAACAAAAAGAAAAAGAAAAAGAAAAAGACAAAAAAAGAGAGAGAGAGAGAGAGAAAAATAAACTCAAGGTCCCTTGTTTCGGCTCTCTTTAAAATACATTGCTGTTGTGTAAATTATTATTTATAATTTATTTTTTCTTTCTCTCTAGAAATATGTTCACTTCTTGTGCTAAGTTAGTGAAAACTTGTAAAAAAAAAAAAAAAAAAAAAAAAAAAAAAAA